CAAAAAAAAAAAAAAAAGAGAGAAGTATCTCTCCCTTAAGAAAATAGATTTTAATGTCTGCTTAGCATATGTTTGAAAGCCAATTCCCTGATTTGCCCATAAATTTTGAAATTGTACTTCTCTATGAATCAGTGTACAATGATATATGTATAAGGACATTTATTATAGAATTATTTGTAACAGCAAAATATTAAGAATATCCTGAAATAATCAAATATAACTGATTAAATGAGGCATATCTATTCAACCAGTAAAGCCCCCCAAATGGTGGCGTGTGCACGTTTCTATCACAAGCTATATATATGCTATACATTGAATGAAAAGGAAATATTATTATTTAGAAGCAGTTTATAACTTCATATGAAGGGAATGTGTACAAGAATATACAACAAAATTTTTATGATGATGGTCACTGGCTAACATTAGTATGAGAGATTTTTCTTTACCTTTTCATTGGTGTATTTCAGTCGCCTGTATTTAACATGTACATATTACATAACGCAGAAGTATCCCTACAAACCCATTCCTAGGAGTGCGTCTCAGGGAACGAAGCGGAGAGAGGTTTACCTGATTGATGGCTCCGAGCATTTCAGCCCGACTAGCCACTCGGGTTGTGCACTGGCTAAGAAACGTGACACTGTTCTCCAGCTTCTTAATGATCTCCTGGGCCTGGCTGTCTTCCTCACACAGAGGTGTTAAAGACTGCACAGAGAGCAAAGTATTAAAACACACCCAATACAAGCACTTGGCAAGTGATTCTCTACTGCACTGTAGTCTCATCTTGGTGGATGGGTGACCAGCAGCGCCCAAGATCAAGAATGAATGACAACCAAATCTTAATGTATCTGTTGGTTAGCATGTGGATGCGTTCAGTTGCTCACAAGGCCTTTTAAGTTTTTTCTGATCCATAATCAGACACGTTATCCACTGCGCCACTGGCCCTCCATTTTGTTTTTTCTTGATCCCCGTTTTTTGTACTTCCAAAATATGCCACTCTCTCCCCTCGTGTGCATTTACATCTTAATCTATGGCTAATAAGATGGGCTATCATTAATTGCTAATGGTAAAGAGTTTATGCTTATCATAAATGATTTGCATGTACCACAGGAAGCATATAGGTTGGAATTTGGGGAAAAGCAACGAACATACCAGAGTGAAAACTAGCTCTGACTACATCTGTAATCCCAGCACACAGGAGGCAGAGGCAGAAGGATCGCGGGGAGGTCAAGGCCAGCCTGAATTGTGTGACGAGACCCAGTCTCACAAATCAAAAAATAACAAACTTCTCTGAAATCTGTGTCCTTTATCTCCGATGTCACCCTTCCTGCTGAAAGGCTGACCTTCTCACGAGTAGAGGCGGGAGTAGCAGATTGGGAAGCAAACAATCTACTGCTCAACAGCTGGGTGACTAAGATATGTCCAAATCCAAAGCACCAGGGGCCAGGGATTTGGCTCAGTGGTTCCACCGTCTGCCTTGCAAGCTCAAGGACCGGAGTTCGATCCCCGGTACAAGAGGCGCCATTATTTTGTGTATCCTTAAGGAAAGTGGTAACAACAAAATGGAGGCATCGTGAATTACAAACTGCATTGTAATCCTGGAAATGTAACACTATCAATCTCTCTGATCTCTTCACCTTTTAAATGGAATCTGACATTACCCTTCTAAAAATACTGCAATATGAGAGCTAATAGTTGTCAGCTGCTTTGCACGCAGTTGGCACCTAATGGTGACAGCCGCTTTGAAAACAGACAGCTATCTGTAAGTTGCAGCCAGGGAACTGTTAACCAACAAGAACAGCCATTGCCAAAATGCAATTTTCTACAGTAGTTCAAATAACCACTTTCAGTTAGGAAGGGAAGAGCAGATGTTAGGTGGTAGCAAAACAATATGGGTAATCAAGATTTAATCAGGAAGGGCCGGGGATTTAGCTCAGTGGTTCTGCCGCCTGCCTTGCAAGCACAAGGTTCCAAGTTCAATTCCGGGTACCAAAAAAAAAAAAAAAAAAAAAAGATTGAATCATGAAGAAATAAGGAATCTGAACAGACCTCTAACTGGCAAGGACATGAAATCTGTAATCCAAAACCTTCCAATAAAGAAATGCCGAGGGATTTCACTAGGGAATTCCACCAAACATAGAAAAAGAAATAATGCCAATCCTTCTAAAGCTCTGGCACAAAAAATGACACAAAGCTAGGCATCTTGGCACACACCTGTGATCCCAACATTCAGGGAGGCTAAAGTAGAAAGACTGCAAATTCAAGCCTAGCCTGGGCAATGTAGTGATTTAGCAAGACCCTGTCACAAAATAAAAAATGAAAATTGGGTGGGGACACAGCTCAGCAGGAAGGACCTGGGCTCAATTCTTAGTACTGAAAAACAACAATAACAAAAATTACTTGAGTCAGCTAGGGATTTAGTTCAGTGGTGCCACCACCTGCCTTGCAACTGCAAGATCCCGAGTTTAATCCTCAGTACAAAGGAAAAAAAAAAAAAGTCAAAGCCCATAACTTGATACTTTCCTTAACCCATGAAGCTCTTTTGTAGTGAAATTTACTATTTTTTTCCTTATTGAGTTTATTGGTACATTTTAGGTATACTGTACAGTTACATTCATCGTTGGGATCTTGTACCTTTACATAACAGATCTTGGTTCTCATTTTTTCCCTATACCCCTGCCCTCCCTTCACTTCCTCCTCCCTTCCCTATTTACAAATACTTTATTTCCATTTTTTCCTTTTTCATATTTTTTTTCTTTTCCCTTATTTCCTTTCCCCTACCCTTCCCACTTCCCCTATACCTTTAGCCCTTTTCTTCCTATTTCACATTGTCAATTATACCATTAGAATTTTATTACTTTTTTAGGCTTAAAAAGAAAGGCACGATCTAGGCGTAATGGCACATGCTTGTAATCCCGGCACTCTAGGAGGCTGAGGCAGCAGGATCTCAAGTTTGACAATTTAGTGACTTAGCAAGACCCTGTCTCAGAATGAAAAAGGGAGAGAGTTGGGGATGTAACTCAGAGTAAAGGCCCTGGACTGGATCCTTGGTAATTTGCCCTCTCCCAAAGATATACAGACTAGTGGATGAGACCAAGTCCCAAAGGAAGCCCTCATGCATACAATCAAATGATCTTCAACAAGGGTGCCAAGAACGCACAATGAGGAAAGGATCGTCTCTTCAGCAAACACTGTCAGGAAAACTGAAAAAGTATGAAACTGAACCCTCTTACACTATGCAAAAAAATTCACCAAAAATGGACTGAAGACCTAAACGTAAGACCCTGACTCTGAATCCAGCAATGACTTCTTGGATTTGAAAAAGTGGAGCCCTATCAGATTTTAAAATATTTTTACATCAAAGGACCCAATCCCCTGAGCGAAGGACAAGAGAACCTATGGAAAAGGAGAAAATATTGGGTCTTGGAGCTGAAAAGTGATTTATATTGAAAATATATCAGGAACTCTTACAAGTCGACAACAGAAAATAATTAATTTGATTCAAAAATGGGCAAAGGACATGAATAACGTTTTTCTAAAGACGATATACAATTGGGCAGCAAGCGTAGAGAATTTCAAATCGAAACCACCAAAGCCACAAGCATGGCAAGTACAGAAATAAACAGAAAAGGACTGCGGTGGTGAGGGGCTGGAGAAACTGGAAACTCTCTACTGGTTGTGGCAATGTAAAAAGGCGCAGAGGGTAGGGGGAACGTGACAGTGGTTTTCTCAAAAACTCAAAAATAGAATTACCCTATGACCCAGAAATTCAACTTCTGGATAGACACCCAAAAAAGGAATAAAAGCAGAATCTGGAAGAGATATTTGTACATTCATATTCACATCAGCACTATTCACAATAGCCAGCAAAAAGGGGCAACCCATATATCCATCGGGGAATAGCAGGTAAGGAACATGTTGCATATATATGCATGTGTGTATAGACACATATTTCACTATGCAATAGCATGTTATTCAGCCTTAAACAGGAAGGCAATACTATCACACGGTACAAAATGGATAAGCCCTAGAGATGTTACGCTAAGTGAAATAAGCCTGTTACGGAAAGACAGGCACCATATGGCTCATAGATATTTATATGAGATAACTAAAGCAGTCAAATACATGAAAATAGAAAGTAGAAAGGTGGTTACCAGAAGCTAGGGTATAGAGGAAAACTAAAAGATGCTAAATTTTTTTGTTTTTGTTTTTGTTTTTCTTTTTGGTACCGGGGATTGAACACAGGACCTCGCACTTGCGAGGCAGGCGGCTAAGCTAAATCCCTGGCAAAAGATGCTAAATTTTCATAGAAATCGTTGCCCAATTTTCATTTTCTTCCTCTAAAATTAAGCACCTTAATTTCCAAAGCCATCTCTAAGCCCATGTTAACTTTATAGGATGAAGGGTTAATAGCTGATACTTTTGCATGAACCCTCCTTCTTTTCTCAGTACTTTACAGTGAGCTCAAATATCACCTGCTAAGACAACGCCAGTCACCATTTTTTCCAGTTAATCATAAATGGAAATAAAAACTCTTGATTCTTTTTCACAAAACTTAAAATGATTTATAGTATCTCCTATGGCTCAGCTTTCTACATGACTCCTCTTCTGCCTGAAATTTGTCTGAAAATCCAGAAAGAAAACAGCACGTGTAAAACCTACTTCAAGACATTTTTTGTTTTATTTCTGATACTTCCTAATCAGTGAAACTTTAGCCCGATCCTAAATTTTTTATTAATTCACAAATGGGGCAATTGTGGAGCTTAGTAACTGGCATTTTGACCTTAGTCATTGAAATAAACCCATATGTAGCTATCAAAGCATCATTAAAAACACAATCAAGCTGGGCGTGGTGGCAGTCAGCCTGTCATCCCAGCACTGAGGCAGGAGGATCGCTGTGAGTTCGAGACCAGCCTGGGCTACATAGTGAGTGCCAGGTCAGTCTCAACTATATAGTGAGACTGTCTCAAAACAACAAACAAACAAAACACAATCAAATGTATAGCTCCAGAATGTTCTGATCCTCACCTCTAAGAGCTTTAAACAGTTGGTGATTTCTTTCTTCAAATTTTCTTCTGCCAAGTCACGGGACCTCTCTTCAAGCTTCACTCTTTTCTCCAGTGTAAACCAGTCACACTTAAACCCCAAAGATAACCTGAGAAATTCTGCCTGTTGTCAAAACAACGTTCAGGTGAGGAGAGAAAGTTGGATGTGAGCAGATATTTCAGTTCAACACAGGATTAGACTGAGACATTCCTGTCCCCTCCTAGACACACAGCGCTGGCATTCACAGGCTTTACCTGCACTCACTGCCAAGCCAGGCAGACACCAAACGTGTGAACGTGTGTGCAAAAGCATGACGCAACAGTAGCAGGTGAGTCTGGAACGCTTTTTTTTTAAAAGAAAAAATAATTGCTTTCAACTCACCTCCACCTCCTTCTCATTAGCAGAAGTGCTGTAGGATGGAACAAAGAATTTAATTAAACACAATGCAACAGAAACATACAACATGCCAAGTTGCAACATGAAAAGGAGCTTACTTGTCACTTTGTCTAAAATTAAGCAATTTTCCAGTGGTTACCGGAGGAGAGGAAACCGTAGTCTCTGTTAAAAGACAATAAATAAAATATTGATTACAAAGGCTTAACATCCTCCGCTTCCTGTGTACCATAACGTGAGCCGCCACGATGTTCCTCCCATCATTCAGGGCCCCGGAAGCAGCAATGCCCAGGGACGATGGACCGCAACCCTGTGGTGCCTAATGGGCAACTCCAGCGGGAGCAGCCCGTTCAGGCGGGTGAGTGCGGCTCTAGGGAAGGGTGTAAAACAACGGGAGACAAGATTTTAGGCCGATTCCCCTCTGAGCCGCTTTGGGTTCTCTTCAGCTGCGCTCCAGGCTGTTGCCTGATGCTCCCCCGGGAGGAGCTCTGGTCCTCGCCCTGGCCTTGAGCGTCTTCTGCTGGCCTTTGGCACAGCTATCCCACCTTCCATCAGGGGTTCCTTGGCCTCAGGGAGGCCGCCGTGGGCGGGACCTGGGCTCTCCGGCACACAGCCACATCTCTTGCACCCTTCTACCTCGGACTCTAGTGGACACGGACTAAGCCACTCTGAAGCCGAGTCGGTGAGAGTGGAGGAACGAAGAGGTCCGGCAGGGATCCAGCGTGCAGGTTTCCTGAGCCCTGTGGTGTATTCATGGAAGGTAAAACCCAAGAAGGTCTTCGTGAGCTTGAGGCTACTGAAGATAAAGAAGATGGATTCCTTTGTTCCCTAACTAGGCTGATACCCATAAAACGCGTTCTCATCCAAACGGAGCAGAGATGCTGGAAGCAGATACCGGAGCAAAGGAACAACTAAGGAGCTGCCCAGAAAGACTGATTCTAAACAGGCCTTTTTCTTGGTACATGTTTACAGCACATATGTTTATATTCCTTGTGTGGAGCTGGCACGTGTACATAACACATCATAATTCCTCCTCTCCTTCTCCTCCACCTCTTGATCCTCTTCAAATTTGAGAAAGCTCTATCTCCATACCTTCTATTTTGTTCTTTATTTATAACTTGGGTTTCCCATATAAGAGAAACCATGCAATATTTAAGCTCATATATTAAATGATTTTTTTTTGTTGTTTTTTGTACTAAGGATCGAAATCAGGACCTTGTACTTGTGTCGCAGGCCCAGTGCCACTGAGCTAAATCCCCAGCCCTAAGCTTATGTGTCTGATTTATTTCACTCAATGTTATGGTCTCAACTATTTTCCTATAAATGACTCGAGTTTACCCTTCTTTATGGCAGAGTAGTACTCCACTGCGTATAAATGCCATATTCTCTCTCTTCAGCTTTGGATGAATATATAGATTGCATCCAAGAATTAGCTATTACGCGTTGTGCTGCTATTAACGTGGTATGCGTGCATCAGTATAATACGATGACTTTAACTCTTTCAAGTAAGATACGTAGAAGGGGAAGAGCTGAGTCAAATGAAAGTTTTAGTCTTAGTTTTTTGTGTTTTTGTGCTTTTTTTAAAGGAATATCCATACGGATTTCCGCAGTGGTTATGTCAGTCTGCAATCCCACCAGCGGGGAAGAATGGTTCCTTTACCCCCTCAGCCACTCCAGCATTTGTTATTGTTTGATTTCTTGATAGCGGCCATTCTTTTAGAAGTGGCATGGAATCGCAGAGTTGTTTTGATTTTCATTTCTCAAATGGCCAATGATGTCGCACATTTTCTCAAGTATTTATTGACCAGTTGTACTTCATCTGAGAATGTATTCGTTTCAGATGCCCACTATTTGATTGGGTCTTCAAATGGGGGGGCGCTAATTTTTTTTTTTCTTTTGAGTTCTTCATACCTCCCAGACATTAGTCTTTGGAGCAGCTGGCAATTTTTTTTAATCCATTCTCTAGGCTGTCTCTTCACTCCGTGGGTTGTTTCCTTTGCTGCACAGCAGCTTTTTAATTTGATATGGTCCCATTTGTTGATTTTTTAATATACTTTCTTGTGCAACCAAGGTTCTGTTTAAAAGTCTGCCTGTACCTATGTCTTCAAGACTTTAACCTATTTTGTGTTCCAGCAAATTGTTTTAATATTCAGGTCTCTGAACTATTTTGATTGTCATGCATGGCGAGAGATGCGGGTCAAGGTTCAATCTTCCTTTATGTGGCTAACCAGTTTTCCCAGCACCATTGGCTAGAGACTTATCTTTCCTCCAGCAAAAGGATTTGGCCCCTTTGTCGAAGATAAGGTAGCTGAGTGCACCTAGTATTGGTTCTGCATTCTCTGTTCTGTCCCAATGATCCACAAGTCTTCTTGCCAATACCATACTATTTTTATCACTGTAACTTTGAAGTGTAACTTGTGGAAGCCTCCTGCCTTGCCCTTATTGCCCAGAATTGCTTTTGCTATTCTAGGTCTCTTCTGATTCCATATGAATTTTAGTATTGCTTTCTCTAGTTGGGAGGAATGCAATTGATATTTTGATCGGGGTTGCATTAAGTTTTTTGGAAGTATGCTATTTTGACTACACTGCGTCTGTCCATCTAGGCACAGGGAGTATCATTCCATTTTTGTATATCTTCTTCCATCTCCTTTTTCAGAGTACTGTAGTTTTCACTGTAGAGCTCTTTCACTTCCTTGATTAGATTAATTCTTAAGAATTTCTTCTTTTATGCTATTACGAAAGGTACTATTTCCCTATTTTCCATCTTGGAGTTTGTAACCGGTGTACAGGAACTCTGACTGCGTATATGGCTGAGCTAAAATATTCGATTATTAATTGCAGGAGTCTTTTGGGATCTTCTATGTAAAGGATCATGTCATCTGCAAACAATGATAATTTAACTTCTTCCTTTCCTATGCACATTCCTTTTAGCTCTCTTGGCTAAATGCTCTGGCTAGTGTTTCAAGAACTGTATTGAACATTGGTGATCGCAGACATTCTCGTCTTGTTTCTGATTTTAGAGTAAAAGATTTCAGCCCTCTCCATTTCGTAAGATGTGAGCTGGACAATACTGGACTTAAATCTGAGCTTTTGCTCTCACAGATAAGTGATCTTCAAATAATCACAACCTCCTTAAGCCATCTATATGATAAGGATATTATTTTTATATCATAGTTAACTTTTATGAGAATATCTGCGTAATCTCCTACGTAAGAACTTCGAATGTACTAAGTTATTCAATCCTCGCAGCAAACCTGTGTTTAGATACTTCTGTGTGCAGATGCTGTTAGTTTATACCTTTTACAGGGTAGGAAACTGAGTCACAAGTTACTTACCTCAGCATGTACTTGGAGAATAGAAAAAATGTACATAAAGAATTTAGCCTAGTACTCAGCATACAGTATGTTTTCAATGTAGTAGATACATTTTTACTTTATCATTTCTATTTCACAGATGAGAAACCTACAACTCAGGGTCGAGGATTTAGCACAGTGGTTCTGCCGCCTGCCTCGCAAGCACAAGGACCCGAGTTCCATCCCCGGTGCCAACAAGAAAACTGAAACTCAGGCTATATAATTGCTAAGATCACACAGCTGATCAGATTGGCCCAGCCTAAAATCTATATAACTGTCCACTCTTCCATTTAATGAAGACAAGCTGTAGAAAAAGCATAGCAGCTCTCCTTTTGTAAATCCTGGGTCATTTACTTTTAGATAGGATACTGAAAAATAAATCGAAAAAGTAGAGCATAGAATTTACCACCAACATTGGCTTGGATCTGAATTCACAATGGGGCACTAGTTATTATCACAAGTCTTCCAGGACAAAGAGTCCATGTAGTGTTAGTGTGGTTTTTGAAAATGATACAAGTACAATCAAGATGGAGTCCAACTGGCTGATTCTATACAAAGGTTCCAGACTGGCAGATGACACAGCTCACTCAAGATGATCACACCTAAAAAATATCAGCAAGGAGCAAAAATTCAAATGGGGTAGAAAGAAACCATCTCTTACCTCCTGCAGCACATTCTTTTCTATTTCCTTGTATTGTTTTGGGCTCCTCTTTGGCTTCCTAAAATCATAAGGAAATGTTACTGCGACACCTAGAGCAGTCACCCTTCACAGCTTCCTGTCCGGTCTTAACTCTCCTCTGTCAAAAGCATGCTATAGTACTTAGGGAATTATAGTAAGGGTTAAGAAAAAAAATGACTGGCTCCAAAGGAACTTCCAATCTAGTTAAGACAAAAAGAATACAATTGTATGAAAAGTTGGCAAACTATATAATACAAGTTAACACGAAGCAAACTAAGACTGGTTGCCAAATGAATGAGGCATAGATAAACAAATGTTCTACATGGAAAGGAGAGAGACCCCAGGGCTTGAGTAGTGTGGAAAGTCTCTGCAGGGGCAGGAGGACTGAATGCAGGAACAGAGGAAGAAGGGGTGATCCAGAGCCAGCATGTGTGGCTTCCTGTATGGGCTCTGGGGCAAACTAAGGCACACATAGCTGCTAAAATTGTGTTATGCGAGGCTTTCAGTCCACATGAATGTTATTTTAAGGCCCTGTAGCAAGAGTTAATATAAAAACAGGGCTGTACTGCATTACCCAGGAAACTCTACAGGGAAAACCTGACATACACCATCATTTTTAATGATATTATTAAATGTTCTCATATGAATAGAGAAATTTAGAAAACCAAAGAAATTTTCCATTAAAAAGTAAGCGTAAAATGGTTCCGCTGCCTGCCTGGCAAGCGAAAGGCCCTGAGTTTGATCCCCTGTACCCCAAAAAATTCTTTCTCGTCTAAAAAAAGACATTAAGACACTTCAAGAGATGATGGATTAGAAAAACAGCAATTGAGGTTGTAGGATTGGGTAGGAGAAACTTGTAATAATTCAGATGGGAGAGGAAGGTAGTTTGAGCTTGGTAAGGATGGAGAAAAGGAGACTAATCTGTGATATATTTTGGGGGTAGAATTATATCAGATACCCCAAAAAAGTAAGCATAAGACAAAAATCCTTAGTAGAGTCACTGATACCATGTCATGTAATCTTTAGACAACTGAAATAAAGTTTTCAATAAAATGTAACAAATATAAATATATATATATATATATAGCTGTGTGTGGTGGCACACGCCTGTAATCCCAGCACTCTGGAGGCTGAAGCAGAAGGATCGCTGTGAGTTTAAGACCAGCCTGGGCTACATAGTGAGTTCCAGGTCAGTCTCAACTATACAGTGAGACCCTGTCTCAAAAAATCAAATCAAACCAAACAAAAAGATATATATATATATATATAATTTTTTTTTTTTGAGGCAAGGTCTCCCTTTGTAGTTCAGGCTTGCCCTCAACTCACTATGTAGCCCAGGCTGGCCTCTAACTTACAGCGATCCTCCTGCCTCAGCCTCCTGAGTGCTGGGATTACAGGCGTGCACCACCACATCCGGCAACAAATATAACATTATAGGTAAAGCACTGGCTCATTCTCATCACTGTGCCAATATTCTCAAGTTTTCTGAATCCTCCCTTCATCTCATGACCTTTCCTAGCAACAGCTCTTTTCTCTGGACCACTGCCCACTGCTGAATGCTGCTTCTAGTTCTTCACTTCCACTTGTGATCAAACTGACTCCTCTACTCCCGGAGCCACACTCCATGGAAAATGTTCTCATCCATTAGCTGTGATCTCCTTCTCGCCAAATCCAATGGACAATCACCAATCTTTATCTTACCTGACCTCACTAGCATCTAAACAAAACCCTGTACATCCCTCGCTCTTGCAGATGTTCGTTTCCCTTGGTTTCCTCTCATATTGCCATCACAGCCCCTTCATCTGCTCTGCCCCAGCCTCCTCTAGCAGACGCTGCTCATCACAATTCTGTAACCCTGTGCTGCATAAAAATCCACTCCTAAAAATCAGGTGGGTGAATTTATGAATACGGAAACAAAGCCACATAGAAAAGCTCTCTGAAGACCACTGGTGTCTCACATCCACCCAAAACTTGACTTTTCTCAAATTGATCTTTTTAGCTCACAAATTCTACTCTTCCTCTTCCTGCCTCCTTCTCATGTTGCTCTATCCATTTTTACTGATAAACCCTAAACCTGAGTGGTTCCCTTTTCCCACACTGCTATAATTCCACCCCCTAAATATATCACAGATTAGTCTCCTTTTCTCCATCCTTACCAAGCTCACACTAGCTTCCTCTCCCATCTGAATTATTACAAGTATATCCTACCCAATCCTACAACCTCAATTACTGTTTTCCTAATCCATCATCTCTTGAAGTGTCTTAATGTCTTTTTTTTAGACGAGAAAGAATTTTTTCCTCAATAGACTCTACTACAAAAAATCTAAAGCAGGTGAATTCCCCTGTTACAAGGGGAAGCTATATTTGGATTATATGGTAGTCAACACTGCACCTTCTCTATACTTCACACCAAAAGATGATAAATCGCATATCCAAGTGTTCTACTTCCTTCAACCTGATAGGCTGGAACTTGTTTTTTAAATCTACCCTATTACCCAAATGTGTCCATGCCACTTTTTGTGTGAGTTTTCATGGGTCTGTATTAGCTTGCCTCCATATTGGCCTACCTACAATAATGTTCACATATTGGGCTAAAAGCAATATATATGGAGAGGAAAGCCACAGAAACATACACAAAACTCCTCACATACACAAGAGAGACTAACACAGAAGCGAGAACTTTGAAGAACCACAGAATTGGACCCATAGTTATTACACCTGTAGCTCAATAACACACAGGTGGCAATGTAATAATTCTTCTCTTTCATGAGATGAATTTTCTATAAACAGAGCTATCTTTACAAAACCTTGTAAGGTTTTGCCATGTGGTTGTATAACATTCAATACCACTCACACAATGTCTCTTCTATGATACCATTTCTGGCCTTCCATCCCAAGTAATCTTTCATAATCACTAATTGCTCTCTAATTATTGGTAATTATCTATTTCTTCACCTGATTAGATTTTTTTGTGTGAGGCAAGGTCTTGGTCTTGCTATGTTGTTCAGACTGACCTTGACCTTGAACTCATCATGTAGCCCAGGCTGATCTCATAAGCAGTGATCCTCCTGCCTCAGCCTCCCAAGTGCTGAGATCACAGGCGTGTATCACCACACCCAGCTAGAATTTATCTTTAAGAAGATGCCACTGTTAGTCAACTTTATTTCATTAATGAATTCATTTACATAAACAGTCCTCTGCTGAGAGATATCTAGCTTATTTGATAGATCTTTAATGCATGAATGAGTGAATAATCAATATGGAGACAAGACGCTCTAGCTCTTTTTCTATTGTGTAACCTTGGACAAATCACAGGGACACTTTGGCTTCAACTTGTCTATAAAATATGATATAATTCTATTTACCTCATAATATTTTTAAAAGATAATAATAATTCTGAGTACTTTGAAAATTTAAAGAGACAGTTTTACCACTGTAGTATAATATCACTTGAGTTAACTCATTTATACCAAGGACTGCAAAATGTTTGAATTTGTGCATGAAATTCATAAGTTACTTAGAATAATTCAAAGAAGATGAATTTGAAGAGAAAAAATATTATGTTCCACTATTATGGCCCTGAAAGATGAACCTGTGCTCAGTTTCTTACCATATTGGACAGAGTTTTACCCTTGCTCTTCGAACCTTGGCATGTTATACTCTCCTGAGCTGAACTGGTGCCTACAACAAAAAGGAAACACAGAAAACAGCTGGAGGGTCAATAACAAATGAAAGAGGGAGAAATAAGGAAGGTGGTAATGAGAGGGACCAGTCCATGGTAAGAGCCTTAATATGTGAGACAAATTAGGTACCTCCAAAATGTTTGGACTCAGTCAAGAAGGCAGCAGCTGTGATCCAGAAGGAAACGAAGGCAGGGAAGATTTCTCAATAGAAATGAACATCTGCATGAACGGCCACTGTGGTTGGGACGTAATGTGTCCCTTAAAAGGGTTCATTGTGCTGCAACATTGGTTACTGGCAGGCTTTGGGAAGTGATGGATCATAAGGCTGCTCTCTGCTGCATCCGTGGATTGATCCAGTAGAGAGATTACAATTTGAGGGCACTACGGGGAGCGATGGAAACTAGGAGACGCAGGACACAGCTGAAGGCAGTGGCTCGTGCATGGGCCCTGACCTTGGGAACTGTACCAGTCCGCCATCCCTTGCTCTCTGGCTCTGCCCTCACTCTCCGCTTCTTGGCTGCCATGGATTAGGCAGCTTTCCTCAGCCAGGCTTTTAGCTATGATGTTTCTGCTTAGGGCCAGCTGACCGTGGGCCTCCCAAATTGTAAGCCAGATAAACCTCTGCTCCTGTAAGTTGTATAAGTCAGGATTTCATTCCAGCAAGGGACAGCCGACCAATACAGTGGCCTTTCAAAGAGGAAGCTGCTTTAAAAGAAAAACCAAAGGGGAAAAAAATCTAATGCAGTCTTTTAAAAAAACCTGAAACACATTATTGGATCTGATCATAGAAACTGGATGTAGGAAAGAAAAACAATTAGTAACTCTGGCTTTTTGCATAGCTTGGCAAACAGGTTTTTAAAAAGTACATATGCAAGGTTGATATCAAAATATGATATCCTAATAAAACAAGGTGTCTTCCTAAATACAAGGTTATCAAACTAAGAAGAAAAAGAACACTTTTAAATCGTGCCATTCCCTCTTGTAATTTCCTCTTGTTTATGTGTATTGTGCACTGAAATGTACTACAGGTCATTATTCTCCCATCCACGTAACACACTGTCCTGCACTTAGCACAGGCAGAATTCAGCAGCTGCAGACAGGGCGGCTTTAAGAAAAAATAGATTTTTCTATAAAATAAAATATTACTCAGCCATAAAGACTGAGAAATTAGATTCACTCACAGGAAAATGGATACCTATTGAGGATATACTCCTAAGTGAAATAAATAAGTCACACATGTTTAAATACCGAATCGTTTCTCTGGTGTGAATAAACTGTAATAGTACATAAGATCCTAATGAGATAATCGACAATGTGAAATAGGAAGAAAGGGGCTAAAGGTGTAGGGAAAGTGGGAAGGGTAGGGGAAAGGAAATAAGGGAAAAGAAAAAAATAGGAGAAAATGACAAAATGGAAATGAAGTGTTTGTAAAGGGGGAGGGGAGGAGGGGTGAAGGGAGGGCAGGGACAAGGGGAAAAATGAGAACCAAGACCTGTCATGTAAAGGTACAAGATCCCAATGATGAATGTAACTGTACTGTATACCTAAAGTGTACCAATAAACTCAATTTAAAAAAAAGAAAAAATAGATTTAAAACCTGTATTTTTTTTAAATGTATATGGAAAAACAACAAAACAGGCACCCATTTTTTAAGAGACATACATTTTTCCCTTTGGAGTTTTTTAGTTCTTTAAATTTTAAGACAGATAATAGATTTGTACAGTTTATAAATCAAAAAGTATAAAATGTTTTACAGAGAAAACATTTCCTCGGCCAGGGATTTAGCTCAGCAGTTCTGTGGCCTGCCTTGCAAATGCGAGGACCCAAGTTCAGCCCCTGGTACCAAAAAAGAAAGAAAACATTTCCTTTTTACCTGTGTCTGCCAGAAAACCAGTTTTCTTCCCTACAATGTTAGTAATTTTTGTCTGTCCTTCCAGATATATTTTGTGTATCCATAAAAGACTTTTATCTTTTTTCCACTAAATTTTGGTAGAGTGCTTCCCCCGCCCCCGCTTTTTGGTACCAGGGATCAAACTTGGGACCCTGCACTTGTGAGGCAGGCGGTGGAATCACTGAGCTAAATCCCCAGACCTTCCACTAAATTTTGCATGTTATGTGTAACATCCTGTACTTTTTTTAAAGGAGCAATAGCCCTTTGGTAGCATTATTAAAAATAAAAGTCTCTGTATGCATGTTTTCTGCCTGCATAGTAATGTTCTGTTACATGGATTACACAATAGTTTTTTATCAATAGTTAATTTGCTGCTGGTATTTTGTTATTACAGACAACGCTGTAATAAATAAAGTTAGACATATATCATTTTGCATATGTGTACATATATAGGATAAATTCCCAGAAACTGAATTGGTGTATCAGAGGATTATGTTTTGATAGATTTCTCTCTATAGTAGTTACAAAAATTTATATCTTCTATAAAAATTCTTTTTTTCCTCTAAAACCTTACCAACAGAATGTTATCAAATATTTGCATCTTTGTCCACATGACAGGTTAAAAAAAAAAGTGGTACAATGGTGCACTTTCAACTAATTTCATTTTCTTGATTGGTAGGAAGTGTAGTATATTTTTCAATTAGCCCATGAAATGGTTTGAATTTCTGAAAATTTTATGAGTATTCTAATTAAGCACCTGTACCTCAAATTTAAATACTGAGCTCAAACAACACAATGGCCCTTTTTCAGAGGGAATGGAAGCATTCCTATGGCCTATGAGGGTCAGTTGTGGTGGCATCTGACTGGAGACAGTTGAGAACTATCTTGTCTTCAGAGTAAGGGAGCAGAGTAGGATCTAACATATCATCTGGTTAATTCTGTTATCTCGTGAGTGGACCGATTACTAATTGGCCCTTCCCTCTGATCCAGTAAGAGTCTAATTAAAACTCTTTTTTTTTTTTTTTTTTAATTTTTTTGAGACAGGGTCTCACTATGTAGTTGAGACTGACCTGGAACTTACTATGTAGCCCAGGCTGGTCTCAAACTCACAGCGATCCTCCTGCCTCAGCCTCCCGAGTGCTGGGATTACAGATGTGCACCACCACGCCTGGCTTAATTAAAATTCTAAGAGTTTCCTAAGGAGATCATGTCACATCACATCTGTGCCACAGTTGATATCCACATGTGCCTAATTAATCCCAGTCATAAGGAAATATTTAAGTGACATTACAACAACATAGTGGAACTTTTTTTTTTTCTATCTACAAAACTGGAGGAAAAAAGGTACTATCTTCAACATGAAAGTCATGGTTACTTCTTAAACTATGCCTCCAGAATACTTTTATAAGAATTATCTTCCAACTCTGCCATAAATAAGGATAAACTGGAGACATTTCTAGGTAAATGAATGCACCTTGAGATTATACTCTTGACTGAAATAAATAGGACACACAGGTTGTATATCTGGTATGAGAAAACAAAAGGGAAAATGAGGTCCAAAATGCATAATAGATATTGGGAGGAGGGAAGAAAACGTTCAAATGGGAAATGGGACACGGGGGGAGGGAGGGAGGGAAAGGAAAAAAGAAGAGAAGGAAAAAGTGAAAGCAAAGCTTTTGTAAACAAGGAGGTAAAGAAGGGCTAATGGGAGGGGAGGGGAATGGGAAAAAAAGAATGGAGATATATATCATGTACAGCTGCAAATTCCCTACGATGACTACGATCATTATGCATACCTAAAATGGACCAATAAAATTAACTTTGAAAAAGAATTATTTTCTAAAAACTCCTATTAGATAACATTACTGCGTCACAAAGGACAGTTACTTCACTATCCTCTAGGTTTCCTGAGTGTTTCAAGTTGAAACCTGCACTCGATCCCACCCCAGCTTACCTTGGGCCCCTATCATGGTGGACGCTGATCTTCTTTCCTCCTGGGTCTCACAAGGGGATCTGGAGTCAAGATCACCCGAAGCCATATGCAAAACTTCTGATCCAGAATCTACCAACAGGAAGACATAGCACGGAGACTATGCAAAAAAAAGGATTTGCCTGCACCCTTCTCATTTGCACACCTCTGGGCAGGTTGCTGAACATGAGGCTTAAAGTTATAATCCTCTTTTTTTTAAGGTACGAGGGGGGAATCCAACTCAGGACCTTGCTCTTGTGAGGCAGGCGCAGCACCACTGAGCTAAAACCCTGGCCCCCTAGCTCTTTTCACATCTCCGCGAGCCTACTCACCAGTGGACGTTACAGTATTCTCTGTGGATGAAGCTTGGCCAGGGGCTGGCAGCGCGAGATGTTCCCTGTGGAAAGAGAAGCGGTCTCTGGGAATGCCACGCCCGCAGCATTCTCTGGGCAACGCAACGAACACAAGTGTGTATAGAAATTCACACGTGCACAACACAAACCACCTACCTGGGCTGCAGCAGGTTCTCAGCATACGAGTGTTCAACACCATTCTCCTGAAGGAAAAGAAAGTAAGATTTAAGTTCAGCAACCTGACATTTTCCATTTCAGAAAGGTTATTTGAAGCAAACATTTTCATACAATTTTAAATGAACCTACATTTATTCTTCTCTTTCCAAGAGGACGTAGGGAAGGATAGGGCATATTGATACTCATACCTCCTCAAAACAAATCCTTGGGCAAAACCGATTCCAAACTCAAAGGGAAGAATCAGTTAATTTCTGAACTTAAGTCATGTTTTCTTTAAGTAAAACATTCTCCATAAGCATCAAACAGCATTTCTCCTTAGGGCACTATCACTCCATTGAAAACTTTTGACGCAATGATAAAAATGGTTCTCAGGTTTCTAGCTAGAGAAATCATTCTTTTAAAAAAATCAATCCATAGTTCATACTCACGGCTAGTAGGTGTTCAAAGACAGCCTCCCCAATCTGATCCTAGCCTGTCAGCAAAAGGTTTGGAAAGTCTCATTTGAACCTCCAAATTTCTCTCAAGCATTCCTAATTTTAGGGGAAAATTTAGGGCACCGGGATTTGTTAGTATATAGTATTTTCTTTCAAAATATACAGTAGGATGGCTGGGGATTTAGCTCAGTGGTTCCGCTGCCTGCCTCACATGTGCAAGGACCCGAGTTTGATCCCCAGTACCAAAAAAAAAAAAAAAAAAAAAAAAAAAAAAAA